TCAGTAAATCAATTACACACACACACACACACACACACTTTTTTTGAGCATCATCTCAGAATAAAGGGCAGTCTTTAAATTGGAAAAAACAGCTTTCTTAAAAACTCAAAATATTTCCTTTATTTTTCTCATCTCTTCATAGTTTGGTCTAGCATATATCCATGATGTAGGATTTTAGAATTATTCATTGAAATTTCTATCAGCCAGTCATCTCTTCATAGTTTGGTCTAGCATATATCCATGATGTAGGATTTTAGAATTATTCATTGAAATTTCTATCAGCCAGGATTATTAGTACTGATAACTGCAACCTGTTGAAAGAGAAATTCACACTAGTGCTCTAGGAGCCAGGGTCCTTTACCTCATATAAGCTTTTTAATCTCTGTGGAGAAAGAAGAAAGAGGGAAGGCAAAATTATATAGTCTATGAATATAACAGAATGTTGTGAAAGATTAATATGTTTAAAAGCGTCTTTTAGGTGGTAAAACATAAAACCACAGGAAAACTATTAAAATATGCCAGAAATGGAACTTATAGTTGTCATACTTACTCATCACCTTAGAAATTCTTAGAATTACTTTGTTTTAATGAAGCATATGGTATTTGATTTAGTGAGCAGCAAATTTTGCTAAAGGAAGAATAATCTCAAATTAAGAGAACCTGACCTCTTCTCTTGTCTACATTTGCCTTAATTTGAGACATTGAAAAACTTCAGTATCTTTTAAAAAATTACTCCTTTTTGTTCTTACATGATTAGGGAACATAGTTCCAGAAAACTGATTGACTTAACTTGTATTTCCAACATCAGAAAATGAAATAAAAATCATTTCATTCACTTCTGTCTTGAAATGATGTGAAAAAGACCCAATCAGCTCCATGGTGATAGGTTAAGAGGCTTAGCTTTAGAACCAAATGTTCTAGTCTGAACTGGTGGGATGTATGATTTGGGGCATATTTCATTACTGTTTCAAGACTTGATTTCCTCACCTGTTGTGATTTTTGTGTCTACCTCATTTGCTTGGCTACTTTTATGAAACACATTTGAAATCATGTATGTATAGTTCTTGAACTAGCATAACATAAATTCTCAATCCATGTTAGCCTAAATAAAAGGCAATTGACATCAACAATCAGCAGTCATACAGCATTTATAACCCTTATTCTCCTATGTTATGCATATTGTAACAATATAATATTATAATATGTAACAAATGATATTGTATGTTATTATATAATAATATAATATAATAGCATATTATAATGTGAAACATATTATAACATTTCTTAGAATATCTAAACAAATCACCATTGCCACCAAAGAGTGGTGTCATAAAATTATTTTTGTCTAATAAAAACAACTTGAGATAATGCCTGCTGACCTTTTCTAAAAGCCATAAAACCATTCTAGACCTTGAACTAGATTTTATTCATTCATTCTTTGAACAATTATTTATTGAGACACTGCTTTTTGTCAGTCACTTTACTGGGCACTGAGAGGAGATATTTTTAAATTGCCCTCTGGCTTTGTAGAGGTTTTACAGCAAATCTATTACCAGTCAAGTTTCTAGCAGGAAACAGATTGCACTCCCAAAGGGCATGAAAAAAGGGTTTAATGGAGATACTGTTTGCAGTAAATGTGGGCAGGATTTAGGGTAGCAGTAAGGGGATGATGAAGCAGCATGAGGCTAGCAAAAGTGGAAAGCAGCTTCCAGCTTATGTCTGAAGGGTCAAGTGGAGACAGTATTTAATGGAACCTAGAGAAACCTGTCACCTTAGAAGAGGGGTGCCTCCAGAATGGTGACCTATAGTAGAGGGCACAGGCCAGCAGAGAGGGACCTATTTTTCCTTCTGACCTCTGTCTGTTGCCTCTGCTTCCTATTGGCTGAACACACCCAGGAGCCAGAAGTCTGGATAGCCCATGTTCCCAGTCCCTGAGGACCAGGCTGCCAAGGCATAGACAGGATGGAAAAGGTGCAGCAGTGGATTTAGAGGGGCAAAGAGGGAATATCCAGAAAATAATCCCTCCTGTCTTTTTCCTTGTTTTATATAACAGATGTTGAGTTTTATTTCTGAATATAAAAGTAAAATTATCTTTAGTGTATAACACTTAGAAAATTGCTTTGTAACTGGAGATCCTGCTTTTCCCTAGCCAGGACATGCTCTCAGTTGAAGGCACATGAATTTATCCAGTAAGCTCTCATACTCAAAGGGTTATATAATATAAATTTATTTCCATGGCCTAGACCTCAGAAAAATACTCTCACTTGCATCAGTAGTGATGTTACTCTAGCACATTTTGTCTTTCTGCCCATTCTAAATTTCCTTTGCATGGCATCTTCCTATATGCACCGCAAACTTAATACAATAAATTCCTTTCTGTATTTTTACACGCCATATTGTTCTCTATTATCTCACTAACAAATTCTGCTTATTATTTAAGCCTAAAAATAAACCTCATTACCTTTCCAAAGCCTTTTCTGAAACCCAACACCAACCTCTTCTTTATCTCATAGGAGAGCTTTATCCACCAATAGGATTTTAGCATTTAATTTTACTCTTCGGTTCACTCATTTTACAAATATTTTTGAGCACCTACTGTTTACCAAATATATATTTAAGATATGTAAATCTTTCCTCCTAAACTAGATCTGAAATTCTTGAGGGCTGGATTTGCATTGAGTTTCATTTGGATCCCAAGTCTTACTCCTTATTTCTGCAGGGAAAACTTCGTCATTGTTCCTCCCTGCTGAAGATAGCCTAGAGAATTCTACCCCAGTTATGTTGTTTCATCCTATTTTTAAGTATATTTCCTATTAAGCAAAATGGACATAAGATAAAAATTAAACTTTGCTTCCTATATTTTTCCCACTAATTTAGTATGTGAAGCCATTTTTTAGAGAGTACTTTGGCGTTCTTATTTTCTTCCCAGAACCGTACTCCACTACTTTTAACTCTCTGAAGTTGACTACAAATAACATTTATACCTTGATAGTCCTGAGGGCCAAACTTATCAGTCAATGTGTTTCATTTTGCGACATGATGTGAAACAATGACATATGTATTTTATTTTATTAGCTGTGCAAATTCAGTTGGCACTCTCTTTAAAATGTATGACACAGTAAGTTTTATAGCAATAAAATAATTAAAAGATAAGTTAATATTTTTATGTATATTGTGGGCCCTTTGTGTGTGTGTGTGTGTGTGTGTGTGTGTGTGTGTATGTAATCATTTTTTGGCTTATAAAATAATACATCACCAAAAATTTGGAAAATATGGAAAAGAAAGAAAAATGTCCTATAACTTTACATGATGTACATTATTATCATTTTTACATGGCTTCTTTAATATCTTTGTCTGGTTTTATTTTTACAGTTATAATCATTAGGTATATCTAATTCTGTATACTGCATGTAACATTTAAATTTTGAATCTTCCCTTTTTTTAAACTTAAAAGTCTAAACTTTTTTCAGATTCTACTTTACAGAAGCACTCGATTGACTATAACTGTGATAAAAGACGTCTGTTACTTGTCTACTTTTGTTAGGTTTCAAGCAGCTTTTGAGTAACAGCTGTAAAATCCTGCCTATCCTGTTTGGTCAGTGTTAGAAGGCCTCACTAATTCCAATCGTTCCTCGGTGTGTACTGAGGAAATTCTTTTCCTTTGCATATTGAATCAAACACCTGGTAAACCTGTGGGGTTGTCTTCCTAGAACACTTAACAAAGGCAAAATTTCTCCCTCCCCCATCCTCTTATCTGCTGTCAGTTCCACTGCCAACTCCTGCATAATATAGTCAAATTATGTGTTGGAAATTCAACCCTGGTTTCCTGGGTGATGGTACAATGCCACTACTTAGTATTCCTACTCACACAGCTACAATTCCATCACGTTCTTAATCTATATATATCTTCATGTTTGAGCTTTTCAAATCAGTCATGCACTAAGAGTTTAAATGTACAGAGTGAAAAGACAAAAGAGCTTCTTGAGCTTAGCAGGTCAGTTTTTATACCAAGATTCTGAGAAACCACCATATGGACTAACGCCTCTTGGATTCAGTGATTTCTATAGTGTATCTTTTCCAGCTCAATTTTGTAAACTCAGAATTCTTCATATTCTCTTGTAGACTTTTGTATGCTTGAACTTTAAATTTGGGCTTGTCTTAATAGCCTGGGTTTTCATAAACCAGTAACTAGCTTAACTAGCTTTTCTCTGGAGCTGCACAACCAGACACACCCTTAATTTTTGGTAACATTACTGAGGTTCTTTGTTTCTGAAGTGGCTTCAAATGATCTACACAAAACAAGTATCATGACCTGTAGTATCTCTACCTCAAAAATGGGCAGGTTTGTGTAATTTAAACCAGGGAATTCTAACTACTGGTTGCTAATATTCTCTGTACTGAATGCTGGCTTATGTATTTATACATGTAAGGTTTAAACTAGTGGTGATATTGAAATTAAGATTTTTTTGGGTCATATTTCTTATATTAGTTTCTTTTTCTTTTTTTGACAATAGTATCATACAAAGGGTCTTATTCCTTAAATTCTAAATCTGCTTGTTTTAGCTGTGTTATCTTGACCATATTATTTTTCCAATCTTCTGTTCTCTCTTAGGAAAAAAAAACATGAAAATAATCTCATAGACTGTTATGGGGGTTAAATGAACTATCATGTGAGAGAGTACTTTTAAGTATAAAGCCACTTACAAATGAATATTACTTGTATATTCTTAATGACAGTTGATTATTTGGGAACCAAATTATTAACCTCTCTTATTTTTCTGTCCTCAATAGCTTTTTACTAATTTCTTGGATTTTTGTATTTTATGAGCCTCTTTCCTCACATATCAGATTTAATTGGCCTGGAAAATTATAGTATTTACTTATCTAAACACATTGTATGCAGTCAAATATCAGCTTGGAGAATACAAATAAACCACATATTTGTATTTACCTAAGGATACCAAGTGGTTCTTTTTTTATGTCTTTTTTTCCCCCTAAAGGTCTTAAAACTTGTGAGCAAAGCTGCACTGAATAAGACATCCTAAGAGGACATATTTTTCACCTCTATAATGAAGAAAAGCAGGAGTGTGATGACGGTGACAGCTGATGATGTAAGTTCCAAAAGTCAGAGTTGCTCGATTCCACCTACTTTTGTCTGTTCAATAAACAAGTCACTCTATAATTCAGGTGGGCAGGTTGTTTAACACCCCAGTGTTGTCATGGGTATTTCTGTGACCCAGACATTGCCAGCAGCTGGACCCAGAATTCCATGAGACAGACAGCAGGAATGCTGCCTCGTCTGCAGCTTGGATATGGGCTCCGTTTGAGCTTTGTGGTTTTCATTCACAAAACCATCAATATCATGTATGTCATCCTAACTTTTAGAAAGTTCACTTTCCACATTGCTTGTATTATCAGCTCCGTGATGATTTTCTTCCATACTTTCACCCTATTTTACTGATATTCCTTGAGAGTGACCTCTAATGTTGGGGTCTTTGACAACTGCTAGTAAGAAGTTTGGGGTGTACACATCCCACTCCAGTGTGGTCTGCAGAGTAGCAGCATTAGCTTTACCTGGTGTTTATTAGAAATGCAGAATCTCAGGCCACACATCAGCCCTATAGATCAGACAGTACTTTAACAAGATCTGAGAGTGACTAGATATGCGTCATGCTTGAGAAGCCATGTCCCAGGTCATCTGAAAAATCTGTAAAGTCACCTTCTTCATAGCTTTGCATTTTGGTCAGCTGAGATTAACTCCTTTACTTTCAGTTGACTAGTCCCCTATTAGTGGGTCTTTAAATGTCCAGTTCTTACTCAGTTTCTGTTTACAACTGAGCTAAAAATTATATGCTACTAATCAGATGTACAGAAGGAGCCGAGGGAGGGAGGAAAAAGAAGGAATTATCCTTGCCTTTGTAATAGTTCATCTTATTGTTAAGCTTCTGTTCCACAGATGGGAGAGGGCCTGAGAGGAATTTGAACTTGCCAATTAATGTGAAGTGGTGTCTTTTAGGTAAATGCCCAGTATTTCAGGATTTCTCCTAGTTTTTAACCTTCTCTTTAATCACACAGCATTGGGCAAAGCAGACTTCACCTTAATTAACATAGTAGCAGGTGTGCATATTGTCCTTTCTGACTAGTGCCTGTTGCCCACGTGAGGAGCAGCTCATTTGCCCAGGTCTGGGTGTCAGTCTCAGTCCTTGGTCCCATGCTGCTTAGGCATGTGACAGTTGTTCAAGTGATGATTGCTCTCAGCATAGGCAGTGGACCTCAATTCGCTGTCAGTTTGACCTTCTGCCCCACTGCCTGGGCTCTTTCCCTAACCTTTCAGTGGGATTCTAGTTGGTCAAAAGATTCAGCTTTTCTTTCTGTCCAGCTCATCCTATAGAGTCCTCCTTTGCCTCAGGCTGCAGCAAAACCTTGGCAGGTAAGCTGAGGCTAATTCTTGGCTTCCTTCTGTGTCCCTCTGGGGGCTTGTGGGAACCTCTAGGACCCACAAGTGCACAGGAAAACTTAGCTGTGCTATGAGGCTCTTGGCCTCCAAAATACTCTCCTTTGCCATTGCCATTTCTACTCTTTTGTGTTGAAGGTGCTGGTTAGTGTTCTGGTGTTGTATCTCCTTTCTTTTTTTCTCCAATCTCTCCTCCTCGACTACATGGAAACTTCCCTAATTAATATTCTAAGATCTCAGGTGGTAAAAAGCTATGTTCAGACCTCCACGCTCTGCTCAGGATATCTCATGGGAAACTTCTGGAATTCAGAAACCCTTTCTCTCTTTAAAGGAAAAAAAGCTTGGGATTGTGCCTTAATACTATTTACATACTGTGTGCTCCAAGATTCAATTTTTTTGGAGGAATAAAATTAAGCAATGCATTCCATCTATAAAAGATAGACAACCATTCTTTCTTTTTTACTGCATTTTTATAGTAATAATCCTGATCTTCTCTGAGGCATTTGTTGTCACAGTTAAAAGATGAGGGAGAATGTATAAAAAAGAAAAGCACATTCAAAGAATATTAATCCAACTGAAGTGGGTAATTATTTCCTAGAGTTGCACTGTTCAACATAGTAGCCAATAGCCACATGTGACTCTTAAGCACTAGTTTGAATGGAGATGTGCTGTAAGCCTAAAACAGATCTTAGATTTTGGATATATAGTATATAAGTTTGAAAGATTATGTGATATTTAATTAATAATTTTTAACATAGATTACATGTTGAAATGATAACATTTTGGATATGTTAAGCTAAATAAAGTATTACTATTAAAAGTAATTTCACCTGTTTCTTTTTTACTTTTTAAATAAGACTCCTAGAAAATTTAATATACATTTGGCTCCCACTTGTGGCTTGCATTTAGTTTCTAGTCTATGGTGATGACCTAGAACTTTTCACTACATACCTCAACCTTGGAAGTACAGTGCAAAAGATCATACTGAATGTTACACACAGTATTTATTCCCTCACCATAAGAGCAATATAGCAGATTTTACATTTTTATACCATACTCTTGAAGTAAGTTTTCACCCTTAAGTCAAGGATATTTTATTTCATTTATCTCAACTCATGTTAATTAATTCACCTAATATTAATTTAGCACCTATTATGTGCTAAACACTGTTTAGGTTCTAGAGACACAGCAAGAAATAGCACAGAGTCCTTATCCCTTTGGAGCTTATCTTCTTGAGGGGGGGGGCAAAAATAGATAATTATAAAATTATTCTAGCTGCAATAAAAGATGTACAGAAAAGTGAAGTTGGTCAGGTGGCAAAGAATGATTGGATGGTAATGATAGAATGTTTATGGATGGATAACATGAGGAAATACATATGAACAGAGAAGACATATAGGCAGTGAGAGAGTAAACCCTGTGAGAAACTTGGAAAAGAATGTTTCTAGTCAAAGGAATAGCATGTGCAAAGGTCTTTCCTACATGCAAGACACTGTATTTGGCTCTGTGGGAATATACAAATGCCTTCATTTATTTGCAGTCACAGATAACTTTGACTTAATACAATAAATGACATAGGAACAGCATGTATTCAATACTTTGCATTTGGGAACAGGTTCCAGAAGGGAGGGGTAAATTAAGTGCTATTCAAGTACTGAACATGAACAATTAATTATGACTAATGGGATTACAGAATAGTTTAGAGCAGTAGGAGTTGCTGGTTTGCTGAGTAGTTCAAAAGGGGAAAATGACAAAAGAGTAGGAGAGAAGAACCATGAGATGTTTGTACAAATGACAGAGAGAAAGAGAGAAACGCTGACATTATACTATTATAATTGATGGGAGTTGCCTATGATAAAACCACATTTTTCAAAGACAAAATTACTTTATTGTCTCATACAGCATCATGACAGTTAGCCTTGATCGGAGTCCTAAATGCCATTTGGTGATTCCTATGAAGAATTCTGGCCTATGGTCTATACTGAATGTGCACTTGAGCACACTAGAAATTCTTGGAAGTACCTGATCCCATTTTCTCACCATGAGTTTAATCAGAAGAACTTCAAAATTAGAGTAAGATCTAAAAGTGACCAAAATAGATTAAACAAAAGACAAAACAAAATAACAGCAATAGTAACAAAGCCTTGACTTCTTAGATACTAAATGCCTCATCCTGACACTTAGTAATCCTAACTTTGTTTGCTTTGATATGAGGATAGGACACAGTCTCTTTGGTGTCCCTTTCCCTTCCACCCTGTGAACTTTTCCTACTTAGTGTGCGGATTCGCACTAGCTTTTCCTTTGTGATAATGTTTTGCAATTACATTGGCAAAAATACTGATTTTTAAACAAAAAATTATCCAGGAACATGAGGCTAATCCACAAGTGGGTTATTTCCCTTGGGATTATAATTCCCTTGGGTGAATTTGGGACAGTTTGACACGTTTTAAAATTTGTGATATCCAGAAGTACCATTCAAGTTGATGTTCCTTTTCCAAAAACCTTTGATCTCATGAGTGGTGTAGTCAGCCAGAATCATGATGGTTAAAATAGAAAATAAGTTCAAGATCACAAATTCAGTAACGGAGAATTGACTGAACCAGATTTTGCCCTTGAAGATGGTAGCAATTTTGAGTGAGTTCTGTAAGATTATGAGTATGAATTAGAGGGTTTGAGGTAATTAAGAAAAACTGCATGGGTCGCTGAGTGTTTATAAAACAATTTTAATGTTTCCGATATTTAACTTAATTTCTAAAATGCTATGCCATTATGTTCTTTTGTGGCAATGTATTTCCATGTTAACTGAGGTCTTTTGAAACAAATTTTTTTAACTCAAAGAACGACTTCAATTCTGCAAATTCAAACCTGTTGGCAAGTCAGTGTGGGAGATATTTTGTGGTAGGTGTGATTTTGCTCCTTTTAAAAAAACAAATATCAAAATGTACCCATTTAGTTCATTTACTACAGTTACCTAGTTGGTAATATTTTCTTTTTCTAAAAGAGGTAAATATCCAAAAACTTCATTAGGAAACTATGGTGGTAGGTGATTTAACTAAATGATATCCTTATTTCTGTTCTCTGGTACAGTGTTTCTTGCATAGGAGTTAAAGTATATGCTTACAACTTTGCTTTTCAGATAACCAGTACTTTTCTTATATGAATATTTGGAACTAGATTGATTAGTAGTCATGAGTTCTGACTTTTAGTTTGTTCTTGAATTCTTCAGGAAGACTTTGTGTATTCTGTTTCCTCAGTGAGTCTGTAAGTCTTCTGAGAAAGAAACATATGTACTAAGTTTTCACCTCACCTTTTATTTCTAAAGGATACACACACCCACACATACACACACACAAACACATACACTACAGTAAATGCTAGGCCTTGACTGCATTTAATAAAGTAACCAGTTACTAAAAAGTTAAACGCTGGACACATTCCAGAATATTTCAAACTTTGGAAAACTCTAGATTGTTTTGTTTTCTTCCTGTTATTGAATTGTGGTTCTACTGAATTTCAAATAAGTGGTATTTGAAAACTGTAAGTCACGCACAAGAAAACATTAAATTATCTCATTTCCAGGTAGAGAGAGTGGGGATGCTGAAAATTGTCAGAGCTATCCATATACAGATTTTTATCATCAAAATGTGGTCTTCTGTCAATCAGATAAGCATAAATTACTAGAAGATAGGTTCTATGACTGCAAATACTATGCCTTTTTTTGCTGTTGTATCCTTCTTAGTTCAGTGCAAAACTATGATAGGTGTGCAACAAGTATTTGTTGTATGAACTCAGCTAGACCCTTAAACTTGAGTTAATTATTCTTGTATCAGCTAGGATAGGAATGGGTGGAGGAGTGGAGGTAGAGGACTTTTGTTTGTTTAAACCTTAGAAAGTCTAGTCCCAGGTTCTCCTTAGAACCTGTATTTATAGGGCCACAGAATGACTCTCTGGTGAAAGACCTCAACCAGTGATGGTTGGACTTCCATTTTTCTGTTAAAAGTGAACAATGACTAATATATTTTTAACTCCAAGTTGTTATCAGTGGGCATTTGCAGTGTTGTGATGTTTTCTGTCTTTGAGCTGGTAGGAATGGTACTTCAGGCTCATATGGGAATCCCACTCCCAACAGTACCAGGAACCATAGTCACCACGAGATATAGGAAGAATGAGTAACTCTAATCATTGGTTACAGTGCAATGCCTTTATCTTCGCACAAGTATTTCATTCATGTCAGCATTGGGGCATGTACTGAACACATGGCAGGTCATTTTGGGACTGGATAAAGTATATTCTTCTTCTTTTCCTGAGCTCTTATAGAATTGACAAAAAAGAAAGAAAGAAAGAAGAAAGAAAAGAAGCCACAACCCTGAGAAGACCTTTTATGGAAACAAGAACAGCCAGACACCCATAATTATTTGCATATTGCTGTCCTGATACAGAAAATACCTTTATAACTCTAGACAAGGAGCTTTATATTTTAGCTAGCATAGTTTGTTTCCATGTTGCAGAATGAAAACATTTATTCTCAAAATATGTATCCAGTTATAAGCTTTCATGTTAGCAAAGAAAAACTAGGGAAAGAGAAAGAAGATAGAAAGCTCTCCAATCCACAAACTGTGACTGATAAATATTACCAATGGTCCTAAATACCACCAACTGATGATGTTCATTGTAGAAGTTGAGAATTTGCCACTACCCCACTCCCCTTTCTTGTTTTCTTTTGACGTCAATGGTAGATTTTGATTGTGAGATCATGAATCAGGACTTTCTGAGTGACAGCTTATCATTTGTTTTCTTATTTTGCTCTACTGTACATGATTTTAAACATTACAATTTCATTCTATTTTTCTTCTTTTTTTCTTTCTATGTGGTTCCTCCAGAATGTTAAAGATTATTTTGAATGTAGCTTGAGTAAATCCTACAGTTCTTCTAGTAGCACACTTGGGATCGACCTCTGGAGAGGGAGAAGGTGTTGCTCAGGAAACTTACAGTTACCACCACTGTCCCAAAGACAGAGTGAAAGAGCAAGGACTCCCGAGGGCGATGGCATTTCCAGACCGACCACGCTACCTTTGGCAACACTTCCAAGCATTGCTATTACAACTGTAAGCCAGGAGTGGTGAGTAGCCTCAAATTAGATGTCAATTCTAAGTGTTATTTTCCAGTTGCTATAACAACTATTTTCTGTTACTATATGTTAGTTGTCTGTGGAATAATTAAGGCTATTGATATTTTGAGAATTATTTCCCTTTGGGTAGCAAGACAAGGCCTTTTTAAAACAGTGGAGTTATTTTCTACCTCTTAAGATTGGAGGGAGCCTATTGAAGGAATGAAATGCATTTTTATTAATGTCAAGGGAAAACGAAATTACTGCCTATGATCTAGTTTTTTAAAAAGAACTATTCACTGTGTATCAATATGTCTTAATTTAGAGATGTAAAATCATATCAGAGTACCTAAAGGAATTATATATGTATATATAATAGGAGATATTCGTATTGCTCTACTCTCTACATAATTATTCCTAGCTTTTTTTATTATAATTTCACTTGACTAATCTCAGTTTGTGATTATCTCTAAAATAAAACACTTCATTATAAATCAAAAGAGGAATGAAATTGTGCTATGAAAGATGCTTTGATTGTTTCGCAGAGTCTATATTTGTGAAACAGACTATTTTAATCTAGCATTGAAAAATTAATCAGGAACATATAGTCTTACAACTGTAGTTAAAATTGTGCAATGGCACTCTTTCAAATATGTATTTTATCATATATTTAATAATTAGTATTTTATTTTTTCCTTTTTTCTCTACATAATTTTTAAGTATTTTCCAAGAATTACCTGGAAAATGTTATATAACATGGAGCTTTAACCTTAAAATAAAAAAAAATTTTCTCTATATTTTATTTAATTATAAATTGTAATAATGAGGTGCTTTAAAAATCACTTTTTATTTAAATCATTTATTGAGGAGAACTAAATAAATTATTGTACAATACCATTCTAGTAAATCATTAAAATCTGTGATTTTTGTTGTTTCTCCTATTCACTTGCTGAGGTCTACAGTGTGAGGAGTAGCCCAGTATGTACTCATTGAATGATGTAGGGTATCTTTTAGTTGGTGATTATCCAATACAGTAAGAATAGCATGTTATCCAATACAGTAAGAATTAGATCACTGAGACTCCAGTTATCACAGTTATTAGCATGAAATTGTTCATAAGTCTGTGTGATAGAGAAGTGAGTTAACACTTTGTAGGGGAATGGGTGAAAAATTTTAGAAGCATGGACTTACATCTTGTTCAGCTAAATTAACATTAGAACAGTCATAGTTAATTATTGAAAACTCAAATGGGCATATTGCTCCATTATCACTTACTCAATCCCTTAGCTTCTTTGATTAGTCTTGGTTTTGCTTCTGCCTAATTGCACATTTGGAGTCTTAAAGCCTTCCACAGATTTATTTTTCAGCAGTTTGGCATTGGTACAGTTGTACCAGTTGTTACAATATTGACATGCTTTCATGCTAGTGGTAGCTGTATACTTTCATGAGCTCTCTGATTGCCCTTACTACTAACTCGGACTCTTCCCCAGAAGAAAGTTCCTCACAATCCAGCAACTAAAGAGGTGATAACTGGCACACAGAAGTCTAGTTTTGGCAAGTGTTGGTAATATATCTGTTGGAATAACAATCTAAATTAAAATGTACCTTGCAAATTTTGAGTTCATTTAACTCAAGGACACTTTGGGAGTTACAGAGTTGTTCCTCCTGTAGAAATATCAAATCCAGACTCTGACATTTGGGGCATGCTTGTCTGTTTCTCTAAGCTGAATGTATTCATTTGTACAAAGAGAATAACAATACTCATCTCATATGCTATTGTGAGGAAGACATGTGGTAATCTCTATAAGGTAAAATGGTTTAGTAAAAAGCATATGTGAGGTAATCCATAAATGTCAGTATCTCGCCTCTTGATCATATTCAATAAAGCCTTTGAAAATTTGAAACAATGTCTTAAATATCAATAGCCTCTTGCTGGGTGTAATTTAGAGTGAAATGAATGATTTAGCTTTATCCAGAAAGTTTATGTGGTGCAGTCAGTAACACCACATATTAGTAACTCATTCATAACATGTCTGTTTTATTTCAATTATCTGAATACTTTTTAATGTATGAGAGTATTCATTTATTCTAAATCTATTTTTAAATATAAGAAACTAAAAGCATTTCTCTACAGCCCTTGAGAATATTGTAAGTTGAAGACTGGTAGAATTGCTGTCGGAGGAGTCTCATTGAAAGACATTTGACTGAAAGTGAGGAAGTAGGTTTCCAAGTATCATTGCCACCAACTTGATGCAAGTTCACAGATGTAACGGATGCACTCCAGGACCATGTGTGAGAAAGAATTTGCTTGCCACTTGGAACACTGGGTATATGGAGTCAATCTTCATGCCTAGACCAAGGGTCAGCAAACTTTTTCTGTAAAGGTCCAGATAGTAAATTTTCTTGGCTTTGTGGGCTTTACAAGTCTCTGTTGCAGCTATTCAACACTGCTGTTATAGTGCCTATAGCCCTAGGCAATGCATAAATGAATAAACATAGCTGTGTTCCAATAACACTACATTTGCAAAAACTGGCAGTAGACTACATTTGGCTTGCCAGTTTGATGACCCCTCTTCCTGACTAGATTAAGAGATGGCTCCTGCTCTAATAATTGCTTCAACAGTTACAACTGGGTGAAACTGACCTTGATTCCTAATTTGTGTGCTAAATGTGTCCTAAGTTTGGGACCTTGTGCTACTGATCAAGTCTTCAAGGCCAGTGAAAGAATTCCAGTGAGTACAAATGAAAGGTATTGACCAATGTATGTAAGGTTAAATAGAAAGACATTGGTATAAATTTAGCTCTTGTTTGGGGAGAACACATTGATGAAGGGAGCTGGCCATCACTGAAGGCAAAAGGTCTGGGATTTAATAAGGATAGTGATTTGCTTTATCATGGGAAAAAAAAAGAGTTAGAGAGGACCTAAGTCCTGTTGGGTGGACTCCTTTCCTGTTACCTTTTGAATGAGTTTCTTTATCCCACGAAAACCCAAATAAACAATGGAGATGAAAATGTCTGTTTTTTGGGGTTGTGGTGAGAATTAAAGAAAGTGTTTGTGATGCATATAGCATGATAACTAGCATTTAGTGGTTTTTTGATGTTGTTATTATGCTCTTTGTTGTATATCCACTGAGTAGCCAGAATTAGTATTTTCTATTATTGGGGATTCATCACCTGAGTTATTGCAATGAACATTGGAAATATGCTGAAAGAAGACGTCACTTATGAACACAAGAAGTTATCTGTATTACTGGTAAACTTCATATTGGGATATATAGTCTATGTCTGTAGGCAAGTGGGCTTCTAACAATGAACACCATAATTATATGAATCACCCAGTAACTGGAGGTTTACACCTGGGCAGGCCTCTCTCTCAGAAGGAGAATTTACCCCTATAAAACTTGTAGCATAGAATTGTAGAAATCTTGCTCATGTGAGAAAATAGGAAGGATTGAGTTATGCATGTCCAGTTTCTCCTTTTAGAAACACCAACACAGATTAAATTACTACTTCTTCCTGGGGAAGACTGAGTAAGGACAGAGAGGAAGGCAGCAAATGTTGAACTAGTGGTATTCCTGACATTTAGAAGGCACATTAAAGAGTGTGAAAAACATGTTTTTCCTTAACATTCCCCATCTTTTTTTTTCCCTCCTTGCATCTTAAGTCTGGGGTCACAGTAGGGACCTGGCTCTTCTTTAGTGGGAGATAGTGGAAGTATATCAGGACAGTCTTATTGCCTGCTGTCTTTGTGAGACTGTTCCTCCAATACCAACCACTGCTTGAGTATGTAAAAATAATAAATCTAAAATCAAAGTTTCTTGCCCTTATAATTAAAGTTTAAGGAAATTAAGTCCTCAAATTTATTCACCTTATACTTTCAATTTTCTAGTTTTTTAAAGAGGGTTCTTGACACCTATTTTAGAGTGAGGTTTCCTAATCAGCTGCAGCATAAGCCATCTTCCACTGGAAAGGCTATAGCTTTCTTCAGTCCCATGTAAATTGTGTTAATCTAATTCCAAGTCTCTGGTGAGCTGCATTTTTTACATAGTTAAGGTAGTTTATTGATCTATCAAATTTATCAAAGCAGTGTCACTACAGTCAAATTTAGAAAATAAGCCAATACTCAACCTTGAAGATCTGTAATTTTAACCTTCCTCTGTGAAGATCTTAAAACATTTAGACTCCTAGCCCTTTCTGTTTATAGTTTTTTAATCTACTTTATTATCTCTCTTTATATATATTTCCCCACAATACACTAGAATTTTTTTTGTACTCTTTGATTTAGATTTAAATGTTTGCTAATATATTTGTTTTTAATTCCTTATCTCTCAGACCCTCTATCTGGGATCACTTGCCTTTCTGCTTGAATAAGTCCTTTAGAATTTACTCTTATCTTTTGTTTATCTGATAAGGTCTTTATTTTGCTCTCATTTTTGAGAGTGTTTTTTAAATTGTGTAACAGTTACTTTATTTCAATACTTATAGCTATTTTCCCTTGCCTTTTGGCTTCTATTGTTATTGTTGGGAATTGGCTGTAAGTCTATTTTATTTCATGTAATAATTTGCCATATATATATTTTTGTCTCTGAATTTCTGAAGTCCAGCTTTCATGTGCCTATGGGTAGATTTCCTTTTATTTATCCTACATGAGATTTACTGATCTTCTTGAATATGTAAATTGGTATCTTTCTCATGATATCTGGAATATACTTTGTCATCATCTTGTGAAATATTTTCTCTGCCAACCTCTCTCTCTTTTGAAGTTCTGATTAATGAATTTTGGACCTACTTCTTTATTTTCAATTTCTTGTAATCTCTCTCTCTATATTATAGTTATATATAATTATATAAGGTTTTATATGTATATTAATTATAATTATATGTTATTATAAATTATATTATCTGTTTGCCTCTCTGGGCTATAGCTGATAATTGCTTTAGATTTGCCTCCAGTTTGCTAATTCTCTCTGCAACTATGTCTAATTTTCTCTTAACCCTATTTTATTGAGTTT